TGGGATAGAGTGTAGGAGAAAGGTTTTCACACACATTTTTCCTCTCCAATCTTATTTTGGTTTTTGAACCTTTTTTATTGTTGTTTGTTTTATCAAGATTTTATTATTCTCTGCTTTTAAGGCTACTTTTTTTTTGGGTGAATTTTTTTTATTTTAGCATATTTATTGCAACTTTTTATTTTGCATATCAATAATTAGTTAATTAAATTTAATTTTTTTAAGATCAATAAAAAAGTCTTTTAAAATATGTTATTAAATATCTATTTAAATTAATTTTAAAACTATTAAGAGAAAATTTAAAATTTAAATAATATAAATTTCACCCAAAAAAATAAGAGATAAAATAATGTCTTATTGGCTTAAAGATAAGAAATCGAACACTAAACTAACTAAATGTATTTATTAATACAAATAAAAGTTAAAATATTAATAATATTAATAATATTTATAATTATAATAATAATATATAGAGATAATAAAATTGGGGATCATAATAATAATAATAATAATAATAATAATAATAATAAATAATAATAATAGTAGTAATAGTAATAATAATAATTTTGATTAATAATAATAGGAATATTTGGATAATAATAATAAGTCATAATAATAATAATATTGATAAGAATATTAATTGTAATAGTATAATAATAATAATAATAATAATAATAATAATAATATAAGAGGGGAAGGAGGATGGTTTTCACACATATTTTTCTTCTCCAATCTTATTTTGGTTTTTGAACCTTTTCCAATGCTGTTTGTTTTTATCAAGATTTTATTATTTTTTGCTTCTGAGGTTAGTATTTTTTTTGGATGAATTTTTTTTTGTTGCAATTTTTTTATTTTGCATATCAATAATTAGTTAATTGAATTGAATTTTTTTAACATCAATAAAAAGCCTTTTAAAATATGTTATTAAATATATTTTTAAAATAATTTAAAAACTATTAAGATAATATTTAAAATTTAAATAATATAAATTTCACAAAAAAAAAGAAAAAATAAAATAATGTCTTATTGGCTTAAAGATAAGAAAACAAACATTAAACTAATTAAATGTAATTTATTAATTAAAAAATTAAAATATTAATAATAAGAGAAGTAGTAATAATATTAATAATAATAATGGTAATAATATATAGAGATAAGAAAATCAGAGATGATGATGATAATAATAATAATAATAATAGGAATACTTGGATATAATAATAATATAATAATAATAAGTCAAATAATAATAGTAATAATATTTATAATAACAATGGTGCTAATTCATGGACATAAAAATAGTAATATTAACATTAATAATAATAACAATAATAATACTTAAAATGATAATATTGATTTGTTGACATAATGATAATAAAAATTAATAATGATAATAAAAGATAATAATAATATTAACGTTAAAAATAATAAAAAATAATAATAAAAAAAGACGGCAACAATGATAAGAACAACAACATTGACAATAATGATAGGAAATAATTTCTGAATTTTTTAACTGGCTTGCTATTGCAATCTAAATTGTATTCCAAAATTACTTTTGACCAACAAAACTATTTGTTTTAATATCACTTTTGGTTAATGGACGCTAGATTTAATTCTAATCGTTGCAAATTTTGGGCCTTGTGAAGAACATTTAAAACTCTAGATATATGTTAAAACATACATTGTCATATGATAAAATGTATATGATCGTGAATTAAAATTAATTAAATATAAATCATCTTATTATTTTTTATTTGGGTTATACCATGAAAATGAGTAAGCATGTATCAACATTGATATTATTTTATGACGGTAAACTTGTCTTAATGGATGACTTCACTTCAAAGCCATTTTGGAGGTCGTCGTCATCTTCTACGTGTTTTGACTTAGTCAAATTTCAGCAACTCTGTCACAGTTATTTGTGCTTTGAATGGTGATCATAGGGGGTAAACCATATCTTTGATATGTAGGCTTTCCGTGGGTCGGAGCGGTGCGAGATAATTGAATATGTCAATCTAACCAGCACTAGTGTTGTTGGGCTACATATAATCCACACGTTGCCCGAGTCTCATAAGGCCCCTCCGTAGAGTACCCGAGCCGTGACTACATTATCAACATCTGATTTGATGAAGCCTTAAACTTATAAGTATGTTGTAATATGATTACATAAATTTGAGAACTTTTTGGCAATTATAAATATTTTGAAATCAAGTGTTAATTTTTTTCAGCTCCGCGACATATTTTTGGGTCAGACCGAGCCATCGTCATAGTACTCATAGTAATGGTCGAGCATGGGATGGCATAAATTATACAAATTAGAGAAGGACATGAGATGATGGATAGTGACACAGAAGCTCTAGTGGTGATGAAATAGACATTAGCTTAGACGCAAACGTGTGTGAGGATATAATTGAGATGATGTGACACAATATACTTAGGAGATATGATGCAACACACATAAGCATACTTGATAGAATGATATATACCAACGATTACATCCTTGCTGGTCATCAAACGAGGAATGAGATGAGGATACAATCTTTGATGATCCTATGAGTTAGTTAGATTTAGCATCCGAAGGACAAATACCTGATGTGCCAGCTGATGATATGTTTTTGAGCTTCAAGTTAGACCTACAATGTACAATTAATTCCTGATGTATTGTAAACAACAAAATGTATAAAATTATAAATTCCATTAAATCTCAATTGAGCATTATATGTGTAGACGACGACCATTTCTCCTAACTGCGTCAGTTGTATGTAGCTTGGAGCATGTAACACCTGATATTATTTTCCCTGGTAATGTCACCATTACAACCTCAGAGGAGTCACAACCTTTAAAGAAGAGGCAAAAATAGTTTTGAAGAGGAAGTGCAAGAGTTGAGGGGTTGTGGCTCAAATCGATTGTGCTACGGTTTCGTTCTGCAACTCTAGCCACGAATGCGAGGGTAACCGAAATCAATTGCGCTAAAAAGTTTGACAACTTAGAATAAAGAACATTTATTCACCTCATCATTCTCAATAGGTGTCGCTACGAAGCTCTTACCAACAAAAAACCTACATATCAAAGAGATAGTGTACGCCCTATGATCACTATTCAGGGCACGAATGACTCTTAGATAGTGTTACTAAAAAGTTGTATGGTTTGGAACATGTAGAGGACGACGATGATCTCCTATGTGGCTTGTTGCAAAGTCATCCACTAAGTCAAGTTCCATCATAGAATAATGTCATGGTTGATACTTGCTGACTCATTTTAATGGTATAACCTTAATAAGAAATATCAAAATGATTTATTGAATGATTTTAATCCACGACAATATACAGTTTATCTCATGATAATGTTTGTTTTAACTTATGCTTAGTGTAGAGTTTCAAATATTCTTCACGCTAATTAAAATTAAATCTAACACCATTAGTCAGAAGCTACATTAAAAAATAATTTTACTGGTCAAACGTGCTCATTTGGAATGCTATTTAGACTCTAGTTTCAAGCCAGCTAAAATTATTTCCTATAACTTATGCAATCATTATTATTAGTATTATGTATCACTATCATTATTGTTGTTATCATTATTATTTATTATTATTATTATCATCATTATTTTTATTGTTATTTCTATTATTGTTTTCTCTTTTTTTAGTTTATATTTTTATTAGCCTTATTTCTTATAGCATTACTATTATTATTTATTATTTATTATTGTTACTACTATTATCATTTTTTTTAAATTTTATGCTATATTTATTTTTTCATTATTTGTTTTAATAATAATATTATTATTATAATTATTATTCTTGTTATTATTATTATTATTATTATTATTATTACAATTATTATTATTTTTACTATATCTTTTCTTATTTTGTACTTTTTTTGTTCTAAAATTTTAATGACTATTTAAATTTTATGTCAATAAAATTATAAAATGAGTTCATTTTTCTGCTTTATTTTGCTTATTTCTATACTGCTATTATTATTAGGGGCATTTACATACATAGCACTCAATTCTTATGAATTTACCTATCTCGCACGAAAATTTTTGTATTTACAAATACTATATGAAAAATAGAAGCCCAAAAAAAGAAAAAAGAAAACTTGAAGCTTGGGGAGGATGGAGGTGTGCAAAAACTTTCATCCTCCCCTCGTTTGATAGCCTTGTCACACACTCCCTTGCTACAGTACTTGTGTTTTCACGATTGTCGTGAAACAATAGCCAGTGATCCACAATTACTGGGGCAATATTTGGCTGTCATCGTTGTTCAAACGGGTGACATTAACTAGTCATGAATATTATTGCCAGTTTGAACGGCAACAATATCGGTTTTTGAACTTTTTTTTTAATGCCGAAATGCTAGAATACCTTTTTATAGTTTCAATTTTAAAAGTTTTGTTGTAGCTCAGTTAAGTCTTTTACTTTTCATTAACAGCCTTCTCATTTATTCTTTATGCAGCCATTTTACAATTTCCAGCTGTTCACAAGAAACAACCTCCAAGACCTGGCTATCAACGTATCAATCTTAATCGTAAGTTTGTGTTTTCTTCCTAATTATTATCTTTATGCTGCGGTTTTTTTATTTCCTTTTCTTGTTTGCGATGGTTAGTTACGTTTATTGGAAGAAGTAGAGGAAAGACAAGATGGCAATAACAAATCTAGAAAAAGAAGGAATGAAATCACTCATTTTAGGTTTTTAATTATATATTTTTTGTTTAAAAAAGTACTAGAACAAATCTTAGAGCGGGAAGCCCACAAATTATCCTATTAACTTCCATTTTCACTTTGAGCATGCTGACCACAAAGAGCAGAGCACTGCTACTTCGTTTCCTTCCAGGGACCAAACTTTATTCTATAACCTCACCGCCAACTTTCTTTTACCTTCAAGGAGGTACAAAATCCTATAGCAACGCACCACCATGTCACACACCGCCATATTAAGCAAGGATGAGCTGCATTCTTTTAGCCATGGAAAAAAAGATTCTAGAAAAAACTAGAAAGAAGGAGAATAGTCTAAGGAATTCTAGAAGGATTCATATAATTCCAAAAATAAGCCGAAAGAGACAAGCTTCAAAAGAACTCTAGAATATTTTCGAAAGTTCTAGAATCATGTATATGCTAAGATCTTAGTCTATTCTAATGTAATCTAGAAAGTTTTCATTGGATGGGAGAGGATTATAAATAAAAATCCTTCCCCCTCATTTGGAATCATCCTAAGTTTTCTAAGCAACCAAGTGTGTAATACCTCATTAGTTACGTGTTCCTTTTTTCAATAAATTTATACTTCTTTTTTAGAGAGTATTGTGCTTTTAAGTTCGAACGTTGTGAGTGTTAGACTAATTTAGTGCTTAGGAAGAGTGCTAAAGCCGTATGGATGACTGTGAGAAGTTTGTTCGTGATTGTTGGTATCAGAGCCAAAGTTAAAGGCATGCAAAGAGTGTCAAAGAACACGTCATGGAGTTTGAAGCCACTAAAGTGAAATCATCTCAACAAGGGCGAGGTTGTCATGAGCAACGGGATCTTGTTGCATCTAAACCACTTGGAAGGTTTGAGGAGATATGCATAGCTTTGATCCACACCTTACTTGGGTGGAGGAGGCTATGAATGACATAATGGCCCAGATAGAGAATCTAGACCAAAAGGTCGATGGCCTCGAAGAGGAGGACATCACCATCAATTTCACAATCAGAGATATGTCCAAGTTGAGGAATCCTTAAAAAACCAAATAACGAAGATGCTGGATGACCTGATTAGGGAGCTCCATAAGGTACAACGATCACATGACGAAGAGATGAGCAGCTTCTGTGCCAGCTTGGAGGAAATGCGTGGAGATATATTGCTATGCAAGAGAGCACTAGCGACATCAATCAACCACCTTACTTTTGAAGTCAAGCGTATTGAAGTGTCAGAGCCTAAGAGTTTTGGAGGAGTTTGCAACCCCAAAGAAGTAGACAACTTCTTGTGGGGGCTTGAACAATACTTTGGAGCCATGGGCATTATTGATGAAGATGCAAAAATTTAATTTACTATTTATCTCTTCGACATCGCTATACTGTGGTGGAGAAGAAGGTGAAGATACATAGAGAAACATATGTGCATCATATCCATCTTCGATGACTACGCGAAAGAGCTAAGGGACAATTTTTTCCCGAGAATGCGGAGTCTGAGGCTGGAGCCCGACTGCAATGCTCAAACAAGTAGGATCGATTCAGGAATACATTAAGGAGTTCATTAGTTTGGTCCTTGGAATACCCGACATGTCCGACAAGGATGCTTTCTTTAACTTCATAGATGCACTCCAACAGTGGGTAAAGACAAAGCTTAGAAGGCGCAAAGTGTAATATCTTGCTACTACCATTGTCGTCGTCGAAAGCTTAATTGATTACTTATAAGAGTCCACAAAGCCGAAAGATAAGAAGAGTACCTATGTCAAAAGTGGGGGAGTCAAAGACAAATACAAGGAAAAGACTCGTCATGAATCGACCTCATCCAAAGGCAAAGACAAAGGAAAGCTTAACAATAACAAAATTAAGTCGCATAGCAACTGCTTTTGTGGTGGACCTCGTTGGGCAAGGGATTTCCCTCAAAAGAAAGCTCTGAACTCTCTCATTGCATGCCATCATGAGGAATGAGGCGATATGACAGCAGAAGCAGAAACAATATAACTGCAAAATGTGGTGCAATTCTCTAAAAAAATCCTGACAAAAGGGCTACTCTTTGTGGAAATGGTTGTAGGTAGGACAACTAAAAAACAATGATAGACATGGGAGCTTGTCACAACTTCATCTCTATTGAAGAAGCAAAAAGGATGTGTCTGCAAATAACTGGAGGAGCTCAGCGGCTAGGGCAATTCATGGAGTGGCCAGAGGAGTAAAGATGAGTGCGTAACATGGTTAGTACCTTAAAATTCTTTGTTATCCCAATGAATGATTTCAAAATTGTTCTAGAGCTAAACTTTTTCAAGCATTCTCTATACCCTTCGCCAATAGCATATGCATCTTGGAAGGCAATCAAGCTTGTCTATTACCAACTATAAGGACAAACAAGCAAGAAGCTAAAATGCTATCGATCATCCAATTCACGAAGGGCACCGAAAAGAGGAGGAAAACTATTTAACTACTCTTCATGACTCATATAATGAAGAACCAAAGATCCAAGAAGATATGCCAATGGAGATAGCAACGATATTTGATGAGTTTGAAAATGTCTTACTTATAGAGTTAACAAAAGCTATCACCGAGAAAAAAGATAAACCATCTGATCAGGCTAGAGCCAGGGGTTGAGCTGCCATCCATGAAGTCTAAATGCATGGCACCCCTCTCTCATACAACTATTTATGAAGGAAAATGCCCAAAAACTTTGAAGTTTGCCTATTTCAAAAGCAAATAAAAGAAGTTGGTTCGAGCATCACCGCTTAGGATTACAAGAAGGACAAAGAAGTGGGCGACCAAGAAAAGAAGACATGTGGATTATAAAAATAAAGATTCATCAAGAGGAAACCCTAAGCAAGCACAACCCATAATAATCACTTCTTTTAATAAGAAAGTGGATAAAACAAATGGCTGATTGGATCAATCATCGAAGAGGGATACCAAACTACAAGAAGTACCTCATCAAGTGGAAAGCGCTACCTGATAGTGATGCCAGTTGGGAATATGAAGACATTGTGTAAAAAAAAAAATCTAATAGTATCAGGAGAAAGACACAATGAGGGCATTGCAAACTTAGGTAGGGGAGAGTGTCACACACCGCCATCTCAAGTAGGGATGAGCACATTCTTTTAGCCATGTAAAAGAATATTCTTTAAAAAACTAGAAAGAAGAAGAATAATTTAAGAAATTCTAGAAGGTTCCACATAATTCAATAAATATGCTGAAAGAGACAAGTTTTAAGAGAACTCTAGAATATTCTGGAATGTTCTAGAATAATATATATATAAAGAATAATGTCGAACTAGATTAGTCTATTCTAATGTAAAGGGCTTGGGGAGGACTATAAACAGAAGCCCCCCCCTCATTTGGAATCATTCAAGGTTTCTCAGCAACCAAGTGTTTAATTCCTCATTACTCGGTGAGGTGTTCCTTTCTTCAATAACTTTTGCTTCTTCCCTAGAGAGTTTTGTGCTTTTAAGTCCAAGCATTGTAAGTGTTAGACTGATTTAATGCTTAGGAAGAGTGCTAAAGCCGCACTGGTGACTTGTGAGAAGTTTGTCCGTGACAACTAGCTTTCATTCATAATAGAAAGACTTTGGATTTAAAACAAATCACAACTAATAGTTTTTTTTGTGTTATTCTAAATAGGTTTCAACACTCCCGTCAAGCTGTATTGACACCATTTTAGGGTTCCCAGAAGGTGTTTAAGATGTGAATTTAGCGCAGAGGTGGTAGTAGAATAGCCAGGGAATAAGAATATATGAGGTTTGGCATTTAGAAAGGGAGAGGAGTTCAACAACTGTCCAGGTTGAAAGCAAGAGAGAATCATGAGACGCCGACTCTCGAGGGATCCACTATCTATTCCTGAAAATACTACTAACACACCACTTGTAGAAAGAATATTATACAACACTGCTTAAGAAAGAAATTAGAATGCAATGTCCAAAATACACAAGCAAAATTAAAAAAGTGTCTAAAATGTGGGACATAATAAGATATAAATAGTTCCCTCTCAAAATAACTTTAATTCTAATTTAAAAGTAAATTGAAATTGTGCTCATAAGGCTTGCCTGCCCAAGAGATTTAGAATTTGGGGTTTCCAGGTGGTAAATTTACCTCTACAGGCCATACGAGACAAGATCTTCCCTATTCCACTCGTCTCGTGTAAAAGGGGGATTATGGAATCAGTGAAACCTTGGAATCTCACGGAACCTAGGGGTTAGGACAACTCTCGCGTTCTTCATTCTAATTAGGAGAAGCTTTTTTTTTCTAGAAGCACCCAAGTCTCATTGTCTAATGATCTTTCTCATAAACACTTTAGGAGATTTTTAAATTTGTGGTTCATCACTCCTATCTGGTCAGTTGTTTGGGGGTGCGTTGTTGAGCTGATCTCGAACTTGATACCTAGCTTGCTCCATAAAGCTTTCCAAATAGCTTAAAAACTTCTTATCTCTATATGAAGTGATGATATACTCGACCTCCCTTAATAATGATAATTTAGGTGGTAGACTGTAAGCCAAAAAATCTTGAAACTCTCTTAACAGGGGCTGTTTGTCTTGTTTTGACTTCTCAAACTCACTATTTTTTAGTACAATGAATGCTAGTCTTACTATTGTTTCTCTAAGGACTGCAAAAAGATAATTTGTGGAACCATATTATCAAAATTTGGTTTGAATGCCCTTTACTTTGAACTCCTTCCAAGGTAAGAGTGCAATTTGCTTTCCATTTTTGGTGAAAGAATGTGTTTTTGCAGCCATCATGATATGTGCAACAATCAAACTCCTTGACTTACGATAGCCAATGTCCATTTCCCTCTTCCAATCCTAGTGGGTTCCTCAGATTTCATCTTCTAGTCTATTCAAAAACATTTCCAATAACTATTTCGATCCTCTCACACCTTTTAGGGGCCCTAGAATGGTGTTATTTTGCATGATTAAAAGGTGGCCATATTTGCTTACCGTTTCATAGAAGTAATCAATTTAGTTTGTCGAGGATTATAGTAATTAAAAATTAGTGTGGTGGTGGAGCCATCCTACTAGTTTATTATGGATTCGACATACCAATTTAATCTTACTTGGCCTATGCACCTACATACACCTGTGCACACGATCATCAAATTTTGCCTCTTCTAATATGAATTATTCTTATATAAGGAAGCGAAAAACTTTCTTGATATTATTCATGCATGTACCAATTCCTTGATATATTTTTTTTGAAATAAAAGTTTCATCTTACTATTAATTTTATCAAAGCGTAAAGCACAATGTGAGTATTAGATTTTATATGCTTTTCAAAGCTCAAATTTTAGAGCAAAATGACCCTTCTATAAACCAAACCAGAAATTGGTGATATAAAATTTTTAGTGTATAACTAATTGTGCGCATGCTTGCAATACAAGGGTCAAAGGCTCTGCACCCTTGCTATAGAAGGCTCTCCTTGTGGTCCCTCTTGAACCATAGAACGAAGTTGAATAGGGAAGACTGCACGTCGAAGGCTTTGCTTCCATTCATCTCAACCTAGGTCGAAATCGAATGGTTAAGACAACAAATTGTATGCTCTGCTCCCGCTCCTCTCGAACACTGGACCAAAGTCGAATAGGGAGTAATTGCAGTTGAAGTTGAAGGCTTCACTCTGTTGTGCTTCTTATGGGTGTCGAATTGAGTTTGCGGGTTAGGTTTGAAAAATTAAATGGGTTAGAAAGCTGAACCCTGAATTTGACTTGCTGTCAAACTGTTGACCCACATTCGACATGTATAACACGTTTAACATAAGGTATAATAGCTTTTCAAGTAAATTTTTTTGAGATAGCGGGCTAATTACTTATTTTGAGTTAATTTTAGTTTAGTGGGTTAGTTTTGAGTTGGCAAATAAACTCATACTCCATGAAAAAACTTAAACTAGTGAGCATTGCTCACACGAAAGTTATTTAGTTCAGTATGAACCTTGATTTTTCCAGTCGAGTTTGGGTTGAGTTGTGTTGGGTCAATTTTTTATGTCCTCTAGTGCTCCTCTTGAACACTTCGCCAAAGTGAAATAGAATGCCTTTATTTTCTATCACTATACCGAGAAGCTGAATAAAACCAGCGTTCTTCGCTTCCGCACCTTTCACTTGCAGTGACCGCACAACAAGAATGCGAAGCTAGCCTGCGGTACTTTGCGTTTGAAGTGCGCTTCGAAGCGGGCTTTTCAAAAACTGCTTATTGTTTTGTCCTTTTTTTACTGCAATTCCTTTAGTCCAGCATATGTATTTATCATAAATATTCCTTGGTGGTTTGGGAAATTTGGCTTTGAAAATTTGTCTATGGTTTTACATATATTCCATCCCTTTTTAAAAGGTTTTAGCAAACAATGTGTTTTGTTATCCTTCTAATTACTTTTTTTATTGACATTTTGGGATTAGGATTGCATAATTTTTTTTCTTTGCCTCAATGAATCGCTTTGTCAAATTATTTTATGATTTTGCACTCAGTTTTTTTAGCATAGTCCTATGTCTCTTTTACGAGCTGTTGCCTAATCAAAGTATATTCTGTTGCGTATATTGATTTTTTGTAAAATATATTCGTTTCTGCTGCACAGATTCTATTGTTTCAGTTTGAATAAAACCATACTCTCAAATTGCGACACATAAATTGATCATCTTGTTTCTCATGGGCCACATCAATATTTACGGAATACTCTCACGTTATATATATCGGTCATGTAAGCTTCTTCTAGGGATTGACAACATTTAAAAGAATGTATAAAGCCTAATTTGTGATTCAATGTGGGAGCGTAGCTTTACTCATTTTGCTGTTTCGTTAGTCTAACTATTTGTTTACATGTTGACATTTCATTATACACCAACATTTCGTGTCCATCTGACTACTTGTTATTGCAGCTTCTATTTGGGAAATCAGAAAGCTGAAAACTGCCGACTCTGCAACTTCCAAATGCCTTGTGACGAGGATATTGGAAGTTCATTCAACTATTTGGGATAGATTGAAGAAGCGATATACCTCACATTTTGAGAAGACCATTCCTTATGCTTTACTTTGTCAAGTTGGAGGTTGATTTCTCATGCAATGCTTTTATTTATGTTTTTTTTTTCTTTTGAATGAAAGTTGTGTTAAACCTCTTCACATTAAAAATTGAGGAAGATTAATATGTCAAAGGAAGAAAAATATAAAAAGGAGGACGAATCACTATGCAACTAAGCAGCACTTAAACTAAATAAGGGATAATCTTAAATCTTAAGCTCTGGTGTATTCTTGTTCATAAGAGTTTATTTGTTCCCCTTTGATTTGTCTTGGCCAAAAATATTCTTGGAAGATGATATTATGCTAAGTGATCTTTTCCGGTTTCTTATTTTTTGTGAGAACACTTTTTGTTTCTTTCATATCATAACGTGAAACTTTTTCTTATTGAAATTGGACAACGCACAAATTGAAGAGATATGCATACCAACTTTGATTAAATGAGCTTTAGTAGGTGTTTTGGCTAGGTAAGTGACTCATCTTGAAGTGACTCATCTTTGAATAGACACTTTCAATGGAACTTGAGTATTCCAAATACAACTGAAGAAGGGTGTGTGAATTCTAATATTTATTCAAGAAGGGTAGAAATTTGAAATTGAATTGTCTACTAGAGTACAACATCCACTTAGGCTTATCATGATTAGAGTTGAGCCAAGTTTGATTTGTATCAGTATGGTGCTAACTTCTTTTCACTAAAATTGCCAACCATGAGGATCCACACCAAAAAATTAATATTTCAAGCAATTTGGGCAAGGCTAGGATACGTAGTAACAAGAATTTTTATCATAAATCCATTTGTCTTTATATAAAATTTGAGTATATCTCCATTATGAATTATTTCAGAGATGCTAAAGAAAGAAGAAGGATGAAGAAGCTTATTTCATTCTGAATATTGAGCAATGAGAACCTTCAAAAAATTGGAAGAGGAAATAAAAAAAAAGTACTTGTTTTTGATAATAGATCCGACCAATGAGCTGAACTTCACTTAAGAGGGATTTTCATTTATATTGTAGAAGAAGGAGATGTCTATAATGACGGATTATAAGTCCTAGTTTTTTTGCCCTTAAGATGTTAAAAGTGGCAATATTTATGCTCTTTCTCTTCAATGCATTCCTAAATAAATTTTATTTTAATGTCGTTCGATTTGTTTTTCGTTCAATTATTCTCCAGAATAATGCTATATTATTGAAATTATCCCTTAGATATTAAAAGGAAAAATAAGACAATTGAAGATAACATGGAGACTAATTGAAATTATCCCTTAGATGGATGAGGTGGAACCCAAATACATTAATTAAATGTGCGTTGCTTGTAATTTAATAAACGTTATGAGTGATTGTATATTTTTTCTACGTTTGCATCTTTTGGTGAACTGAATTTGAAACTTTTGATCCACTAGTGGTTCAGAAGTACCATCATCAGAATTATAAGGTTGCTTTGACTCTATGATAATAATACGCTCAACAAGAAAATGTTCAAGGGAGAATAACTCATCAGGAGGATATTGTTTAGTGACTTTGCAAGTACTTGTGGTGCCAACCACATCAATAGGGCTAGAGATGGATTTTCAATTGGTTCCAAAATCTGGGTGCATGCTAGATTTAAAGTTGGAGGCGAGCTATCAATGCATTTGAAGGAAGATTCGGATCATTTGTTTGCTTGCTTTATTTTTGGGTATAATGAGATTTCCTCAACTTTGGGTGAGTTGTGCTACGTTTTGTGTAATTATGATTTGAATTTTAAGAGGAATAATATGATATTATGCTTCCGAATTCATTCTTCTTCCAATATCCACATGCAGAGCCCATCTGAACCTCCCTTTTTTTGATAAATAGCACCATCCATTCAATTAGGACCCTAAACATTAATGATAGCCAGGATGTCATGCAGTAGCAACATCCACTTGTGAATGCGCATGAAAAATAAACTTAATAATAATATAATGTGGATTTGTTAGGGTAGTAAATAATAAGATGAGGAAATGGACTCCAAACTGGAATGATTGGTAGATTCTTGAAAAGCCAATGCGAGAAGACCACTTAAAACCTACACATTGAATAGCCATTCACGTAATAACATTGTCAAAAGAAAATAATACGGTAGTTATCTTTAGAAATAATATAATAAAAATGTGACATGTATCAAGATGCCTGACAATGAGGACACTAATTAAATGCACGTTAACCTTAAATTTATTTAATATTACAAGATTGGGATGACTATAAAAATGACAGAAAAAAAATGAATTTTGCTGTTAATCAATCACCACTTAAAGAAAATTGGAGTAGGTTGACTATAAGTAGAAAGTTGCTCATTTTGAGTGGGGAGAGTGGGTGGGGGGAGGGGGCCATTGTTTGATGATAATTAATGAGAAATAATTGGGTGATTGTGTTGTGGTTCCCTCTTGCACTAACAACTTGCGCAAATGAGCAAGGAGGAACCTAGAATGTGCGAGGAACTGCAGGTCGAATAGAGATACCCGTGGTAACAAATGGGAGAGGAAACTCATCAACTATGTTGGCACTGATATTGAACCTCAAGGGAGGCTAGTCACCAAGCAAGGAGTTATGGAATATCTAGAAATAGTTGAAGGGAGTGCAAACAGTGGAGTACCTTAGGTAAGGTGTCAAGCAACGAGGTAGGGTAGATGAGGAAAGATCCAGAAAGCGGGGACACCGCGCAAGCTAGAACCGGTGAAAAGCACTTAACAATTAAGGGATATCCAGCCCTGGGAGGCGGAGTTGAATGAGGCTGATTCGAAGCCCCCTTGGGTCATAAGTCTCCTTTAAAACCAGATTTGAAATTGACTTAGCAAATTTGTCTACCTTTTTCTCCATCGGAGAGAACAACCAGATTTTGAAATAAGCTGCCTTTTTTATTCTCGATTAGAGTTGGCAGGAATGCACAATGATGGATCCAAGCCATTAGTATCCATTAGAACTACAGACGATGGAGTCAAAAGTTCCTTTTATCATTATAATCTTCCTTGAAGGCATTGAAGAAAGAAAAATAATTGCAGTATAGAAAACAATTAAACTGGACCTTAGTACTTTTCAGAATGGATTTAAGTGGTTTGAACAAGAATTAGCACTTTTTCTTCAAGTTCTCCAAACTTGAGAGTTGAATTTGAATGCATCACAATTCTAGTACCAATAAGTAACTTCGTTAATTCCAATCCTCAGATAGGTATTTTTTATTGTATTAGAAGCTTCTATCATCTCATTCCACTTGTTAACTATAAATGAAAATCCATCAAACTTCATACATCCTCTTCATACAAGAGATTCTGGATTAGTTTGGGGATTTAATTTGATGAAGAAAGTTCTTGGTTTAATAAATGAAAATGATGCCAGTCGCTATTTCAATATCATTTCAGAGCTTCCAGAAATTCCTTTTGTTAATTCAAATATTGGATACATGTAAGAATCTGAAGAAGATGAGATGCTTTTTGTTCTTCTTAACAGAATACAAGACACTCATATGAATATTATCTGTTTCTTTTCTAATGGAAGGACATGAATGTACTCTATGGCCAACGTTTTTTCAACGAAAGCATAGAAGACCATTTCCACATTCTTTTGCAAAATGACGAATAACATCAAGGGATTTGTCTGCTTGTGCTCGAGGCTCTAGTATAGAGAAGAAGGGCAGGTAATGTAACCATACTGTAATTATTGACCAGATCAATGTGTGTTTTGGATTTTGGGATTTCTTAAGAAATAGTGGCATACTTGCTTTCTATTCTGGAGAAGCATGAAACCAAGTGCAAAAGCTTTTTTCAATTCGTGTTTCCTAGCTATATTTCTTACTTACAGAACTGATTATAGTTCAAAGCACATTTGAAGAAGGTGGGGTCACAATACTAAGATGATAAATTTACTCATTGTTGTGGAGATTTTACTTGATTTACCACATTTATTTTCTTCTTTGATTGCATCCTATGAGCGCTTAGACACTAATTGACTCATGTAAATGGCACATGCATCACCCATGTTTTTTTGATGTGGGAGTGGAGGAGGATAGGGGTATGATTTTCGCCTCAGAAAATACCATTATGGGATTTGTCCTGCCAACAAAAGTGGGTCTACTCGTGGGCCACAATTTTGCTTTATTTTGAATCAGAATTAGGCTTTATTATTGTTTTAGTGTTAGTATTCTTTGAAAATATGTAAGAACACCTTTTGGCTTGATTCTATTTGTCTAGAGATTATTTTCTTTAGATTTCTGCTTTTAGGAGTGTTGTACCTTTCTTTTCCTTCAAGTCGTGAGCCTGTATCCTGACTGAGAGTAGATAGTGGGACCTAGCAGACAAAGCCATCAACCGATTTTGTTTGTTGTTTTCTCATACAAGACAACAATCGTGTTGATTCCGTGCTTCGAATCCTTGTTGATTCTCATATTTACCATTATTTTTATTCCACAAACATTCTCAATCTTCGTATTGAGTCTCGTACACAATCTTGGAATACTTAATCAATATCATTTGGTGTCAGCGTTAAATTCTAATCCAAATTTTTACCCTAACCTTTATTAGAGTTAAATTCTAATCCAAATTTTTTACCCTAACAGAATTTATATCCTAAACCTGTCACACCTCCATCAAATCAAACCCAACCATAAAATTGAGCACACCCTCCACCCATTGGCACTTTTGACTCATAAAATCCTACCCTTCCATTGATTGATACCCTAAATTGAGGATCCGTTATGCCACTAAGGAGAAATACTCAAATGGGTGTCCAAGTTATCAGAATGGAGGATATGTATAGAAAAATCCTCCAATGGCTCAATGATTTGACATTCAAATATGCCATAAGAGATAATGACTTTATGGTGAAGTGTGACTTGTTAGATTTTAAGTGTTGTATGGATTTGGACGAGTTCATTAATAACTCCAAACCTTGGAATGGATCTTTGAAAATAATTGTATTTCAGAAGATAGGTATAACAACCCGAAATCTCAACAATCAAGATATTGTCTGCTTTGACCTAATTGCCTCATGGTTTTATCTTGTTGGTGCAACTTCCTAGGAGGTCACCTATCCTGAGAGAGCTCCTGTAGAAGTATGCTTAACTTTGGAGTTTTTGCCAGAAGGTGCTTCTATGTTTAAAAGTTCGACTTCATTCTATTTAAGGGGTTTCACAATCTCCTTCACTAAGTAACTGATGTTCTTATCAGTTTTCTTAATTCAAAATTATCATCTTGGTAAATAAGATTATAGAGGCGGCCCTTACAGATTCAAAAGTTGACTCTTATCATGTAGCACTTTACCTAATCTTGGGTTTAAGAGGTTGCTCTGATGGCATAATACTTTAGATTGAACGAGACTTAGTTTCCATCTTTGTATTGGTGTAATACGTTGATACCATTTCTAACAAACCGAAATCCCAACCATCGAGATATTGTTTGCTTTAGTGTAACGACCTCACAATTTTATTTTGTTGGTGCAACTTTCTGAAAGATTACTCTTCTCGAGAGTGCTCCCGCACGAGCACCCTTAACTTCGGAGTTTCTAATGAAATTTCATCTGTTATACCAAAAGGTGCTTCGATGATAAGAGTTCAGCTTCATTTTACTTAAGAGTATTACACTAATCTGAAGATGGAAATATCTTCTTGGTGGATGATTTTCAGTTAAAAAAACTTACAAGGACATCCATTATTTCGGTGTGGAAGATTGTGTAGCCCCTTAAGTAGAATAAAATTAAACTCTTAAAGATCCAAGCGCCTTTTGTTGTAATAGTTGGAGTTTTGACCAAAACTTTAAAGTTAAGCATGCTTGTATGGGAGCATTCCTGGGATGGGTGACTACCTGAGAAGTTATACTAATTGGACAAAATAGTGAGACCATTAGGCCAAAGTGGACAATATTTGGATGGTTGAGAGTTTGATTGCTGTAATAGGAGAGAAAACCCATAGTCATCAAACTAAAAAATAGTGTTTCTTTTTAGTGGAAATTAGAATCTGAAGTGCTTGCGATAGTAAGGAGAGTAAGATAACTATGTGATCTAATATAAGGTGGGTGATGCGACACAAATATCTTTACACATTATTAATAAGATATATTCCTAAAACCCTATTATGTGCACTAGATAATTTATTTGTGGAGTATATGACTGAATTTGAATAACTTATGTTGAAATGCGAGTTGGTGGAGCTAGATGAACTTATAGTTGCACGATGTCAATGCAATATAGTTGCAGTTATATTGTTTCCTACTCGACGTGCATACCTTAACTTTTAAGATAAAGAAATAATATAATAAACAGAGATCACCACACCCTATAGGTAGGGCTTAGCCTTATGTTTAGGCATTGAGTGCACCACTTCTTAGAATCCCTAAACCAATTTTATGTGAGAAAGCAGCCCAAGATAAAGAAAAATTGGATGGATCTAAAACTACCAAGACCTTTCCTGTCAATAATACCAGAGCTAAAATTTTAAGGAATCACAACAAAAGTTCTTAAAACAAGAAATAAAATAAAACAAAGCACAAACGAGCCACTAGGCCGAGTTGAAGTTGCTTGTGTGCCAGACTCAAAGCCTCCTTTTGCGCTTACTCACAGATTCTGTCTCTCTCTGTCTGCTTGAGCCCTCCTCTCGCACTTGCTCTCTGTTTGCTTGCACTCCATCTCCCGTTTCTCCCTTTCTCTCGATTTCTATGCTCCCATGGATGTTGGTTTAATTGAAATGACCTTCATTTTTTGGTTTTTTTAATTTTTTTTAACTAGAATTTACAGCATTCTTCTTCAATATTTTTTCTTTTAGCTGAATAACTGAGTTCTTTATTTGAAATGCACAGGGTTAAGAGAATATTTTGTTGCAAATCCTTCACTGGCTCTCGACTCTTCCTCCACAGTTGAGCATTCCAATATTTTTTATGCCTCTTCCACCGCTTCTTTGGAACCTGTGGATTCAGAAATTAATGATGAGTTCTATGATGCAATTGCTTTTGATGGCCCCCTAGAAGATGAGGACAGTGAAAGTGATGATGAAGAGTTTTCCAAGGTAAAACGGTTTAAAAAATATTGGCATGTCCAATTGTGTCGTCTCTAACAGGATTATTTGTTGTATTCTGTAACAAATTTTACCCAACCTTTTTTTTTTTTTTCATTTCAGGCTGGAAAAGTGAAATTGAAGAACGTTTCTTGGGCTATTGCTAGTTTGGCTTTAATGAAAAGTGCAGGTTTCTACTTTAACCGAAAGCTTCATATTATCTTGGGCAATGTTTGCATTATAAGATTTAGTGTGTAATCTAATATTTTTGTTGGCAGCAGCACTAAATTATTGATTGCATTCTTTCGTGATCATAGTAAAACTGCAATGAATTTTTTATTTTACTCATCTTATATTGCCACTGTACTTTCTAATTTTTTTATCAATATGATGCAATTTGTTGGACGAGCTGTTGCAGAATGCGTTTTGCTGAATTAGTCTACCAGTAATGGTTGTGTATTAAAGTGGACCTTACTCCTTTTTATGCCCAGAGAATATCAAAATATATTAGCTTAAATTCTATCTCATAGTATAAATGGACATATTTATTATGAACGCCATCATCATCATTAGCCTTGTCCAAATTTTCTGCAGTTGCATTATGAATCTTAATTTTCTATTCATGCTTGTTGCTGCATACTTGTTATCATATGTCTACTGGATCCACTAGTTTTTTTTTATTTTGTTTGTTTTTTGGCTGTTATTCTTTTTTTTCCTAAAAGGTTTGCATGATTTATTTTTGTATGTTGAGAGAAGTTAGACTAGTTTCGTTGCTGAAATTGGGCCTAGGAACTATTATTAAGTGATAGCACAAAAAAATGGGATTCAAGGCCCACTTTGGTCTCATAGTCAATTGATGTATATGTGAAGGCACGGAATAATGGGATTCAAGGCATGAAAAGGAAACTTCGTTGTTGTCGGTCAACTTTTTGATTTATTTTTTTGAAATTAGAAAATAATTTTGAAATTTAATTTAATATAAGAGGTATATAGTTTGGGTTTTGAAAGAAGTTGTTTTAATTTTTGAAAAAAAAGAGATTAAATGGATCTCATTCGTCTAATAGTTTGCATATACCTTCTCGAAAGATAAGTGTATATCTCGGCAATGGACTCGATCCTAAAAACTATGAAATTTGTGACATCCGTTCAGCTTGCGAACTTTTTTATGTGTGACTGACAAGTTTCCCTATTTAATATAAAAATTTATTTTACCTGGGTTTCAAGTTCCTATAGAGTCAAGCCCCTATAGTTAATTACATCCTAAATGATTGGGGTTACTTGAGAAAACTCTCGATAATGATCAAAGGTGCTAGTCTTCAAGAATTCAAAGTTTAGGTCTTCACTGTGGGACATGGAAAAACAAGTAGGAGAGGCTCAAATAAGAACAATTATTTTCAAGAGTCCAAAGAAAGAAAAATATAGGGGATGTCACAGATCCTGAGGAGAAATCTCAGTGACTTCCCAAACTATCCTAATGTGCGGCTGAGTTTTGGAGACGATGTTATTTAAGTGTTGTTGACCTCGCTTTCGGTCGAGGTGTTGTTTTCCCCTCCTTAGTAGTCTAGGATCTAGTCGTAGGACCTTTCTGTCGACTACTCCTAGAAAATTAGTGAAGGAGCCCTCCCCGTTAGCAATTCTGGACTTCTCTTCGCTCGACTTGACGTTCCATGTAGTAATCTTGACCGCTATTGTTTGGCAAGTAGGGCTACTCCGAAGAAACTCAGGTAGCATTCCTATAGGACTGACAGCCTTCGAATTGACTCTACTCGTTGATTTGGCGCCGCTGCGCTCTCCGCCGTCCTGTTTAATCAAATTTGAGCCAAAATTTTGACAGAATTTCGGACCGCAACGTGTTTTAGTTCCAATCGTTGACAAAGTTGTCCGGATGACGAAACGAACTGCGCCGTTGCGTCCGGAACGTCTATTTTGCTTAAGGGGGGACGTTCGTTTCATTGCGACGGCGTGTCTTGGGGAAAATTCCTATTTAAGTGTTTATTATAATAATAAATAATATATTATTATTATTATTATTATTAATAACTTATATTAAAACCCTTAACCTAAATTCTCCCCCCTCCCCGCCTCATCCCTTCGAACCCGAGGGCCTGCCTAGTATGACTCGTTCGGTCGCTCGACCCACTCCTTCGTGTCGTTGGGGAGGCTTTGTTCCCGCGTTCGCCTCTCGCACGCGGGACAGATCACGTAGGCGCCCATCCCTCGTATCCTATCTTCTGCGATATGGGCTCGATCTCCTCTGCCGCGGATCGTATTCTCTGTGAGAATCTAATCCTCCGCATCTCTCGATCCCTCTGTCGTATCTTCTTAATCATTCGTCTTCTTTGCCCTTAGCGTATATGAGAGCTCCTCTGTGAAGCTTCCAAGGGGGCCGAAAATCTTTCTAAGGGAGAAAACTCTGCTCTTTTTCTTTCTCACTCACTTCTTTGATCTTCTGGTGCTTGAATCGGTTTCCTCCTGCTGTTGGGAGAGGAAATGAAGTTCCGGAGTGCTTTTAGAGTTTCTGTGTTACCTTCTTTTTACTTCAAAGAGGTACCTTCTTCCCTCTCCCCCTGTGAGCTGTCTGCGATTGGCCCTGCTCTTTACCAAGCCCCTGTGCTTTATGTGTGCTTGTCCCTGTTCTCTGTCGAGCCATGTTGGCATGCTAGAATAGGGAGATTACTATTTAACTCATTCTTAAACATGTTCTAGCTTACGCTTCATACATTTGTTATGTGGAAATGACATTTAAAAGCTTGAGGGTGTGTATTTCCCTCCCCCTCACTTTCTCGGTGCTTTACTGGCTCTCAGTTATGGCCTTGTCGAGCCTCTGGTGATGATCTTGTGGTGTAGTGCTAGAAGTTAGATTTAATTCTGCAATGTGGCATGCTATTAATTCTCTCTTTTACTTTGCTTATCTAAAGTGTTGAAGTCATGACATGTTTCCTACCTTCTGAGACATATTTATATTAGAAACAATTAAAAGGATGACTTTGGAATAATTTGGCCCCTCTCATGAGCATGTTAGTATATGTATTGTGAAACTTTCATTCATTTTCACTCAAAGCATGTGGTAGCTCTATTTTGAGATGTCTTAAAGGCATGAGAATATTGCTCTAACTCTTATTACAACTTAGTATTGGAGGTCTCAATTGCAGTCTGGTTTTCGACCCTTGCTGCGTTCGGGTTTTGGCCTTGCTTGGCTCTGTCTGGTCTTTAATTGATCTGGAATCTGGGGAAAATTTTAGTTCGGCTTTGGTTTTGTGTTGGATCTCGGTTCTTGCCTATTGGGGGTTCTTCCTTTTTTTTTTTTTTTTTTTTTTTTGTGTGGGGGGTGTGTGTTTTTTTTTGTTGTGATTTGGGGGTTGACTTTATTGAAACTTAGCTTTTGTTTTGGTCGTGGACTTTGCCTTATGCCTTGGACTCGACCTAGTCTGTAAGCCTTCCCTTTCCCTTGCCTCGTGTCTTGGCTTTGGTCTTGGTTGTGGGCCTTGCTTACAATGCTTTGGAATCGGTTTGGAGGCTCTGTGAGGGTTTGTCCATTCACTCTTCTATGTATATCAAATATCTCCATATGATCGGTTTGGGTTTGCCTTGCCCGTGAACCTCTTTTGTGCCTTGGGTTGCTTTAGCCGTGAACCTTACCTGTGCCTTGTGTTGTCTTTGGTCGTGGACTTTAGCGGCTGTCCCTTGCTGCCTTTAGTCGTGAGCCTCTTTTGGCCTTGGGGTTCTTTAGCCTTGAGCTTTAAAAGCTGAGCTTTAAAAGCTCCCCCTTATCTTTTTGTTGCCCTGGCCGAGAGCCTTACATGCTGTTCATCTCTTTGTAGTAATCCCGGTCGTGAGCATTTATTTGGTTTTTTGGGAAGATTTTATGCTTATTTGATATGTGAGGCTATGGATTAATTTGGAAGTTGGAAGATTTTGATATCAACTTTGGGGTTTGAGAAGATTTGCAAGCTTTATTTGGTAGAGCATTTGGTTGATTTGATTAATCTTACGCTTTTGGGGTTTGGAAAATCAACGCAAAGTGGCCTTTTATGTTTGTTAGGAAAGACATTGGGCCCTACTTTTCTAGGTTTTTTCGATAGGAGTTTTTGAGAGCTGATCCATTTCATTTTCGGTGTTTTAGATAGATCAGTGTCTCCACTCTCTCACCTTATTTTTGTTTTATTTTTGTTTTTTTTCTTTTTTTGCTTCTTGGTTCGGTTTTCGATGTTTATGTCCGACGCATAAGTATCAACGTATAGCCTTTTGCTATACGTGAAACTTATATTTGAAACCATCAAAGAAGGTCGCAAGTAGTTTGTTTTGGGGCGTAGGGTGAGGGCGATGATGACAAAGGCACGCCGGTAGTAGAGCAGAATGATATCTCATCCGACAACACTAGGACTCAATTCTGAAAAGTATTTGATGAACAATAGGATAACGGTATCCTTCACGGACATAAGTCTAGCGGTAGTTGGCTCGAACCTCCTTAGATAGTTGGCAGTCCCACGTCCGACAGCGTAATCGACTTGTGGACAATAAAAAAAATTGTTAAAACTTATTTTAAAAAAGTAATAATAAAAATATATTTTTTTGCTATAAAATAAAATTTGATAATTTTTTTTTTTGAAGACCTATGTGCATGTCGAAAACATAAATTTTAAAATACATTTTAAAATTGATTGTCCACCTGACGAATACCTGTTTAGGCTGGGAAGTAGCCCTCTAGGTGAGGTTCAGGACACACTTCTAGACGAGTGACGGGTTCTATACATTCGGGTGACCGAGTAGCCTTCGTGGTCCCTCGAGAATAAGCCTAGCCCTACACAAGTGCTTGCAGTCCCCCTTACCTAAACTTTTTGTTTTATTGAAGCTTTGGATAGAGCACTCGTGTTTCTTTCCTTTTCTTCAAGATTTCTCCGAGATTTTTGAAGATGTTTACTCGAGTCTTTTCTCATTGATTTTCTCGAGTTTTCGGTCATGAGTCGTCGTTACACTCTTTTTCTTTTCGGATTTCCCGGATGGCTTTTCTTCCAGACTTCATTTTTTGCAATACATTTCAGCTTGCTATATTTAACGGATCTCACGGGCGTACATGTTCGTTTTACATTTACAGAATATTATACTATTCTTGTTTATACCTGCTACTACCCTGTACAACTTGTTATTTTATTCCTGTTTATACCTGCTACTGTTCTGTAAAACTTGTTA